CCCCTCTCCACGGGGCGGGACAGGGTGGGGGGTCACGGCTCGCCGTTCCCGGGAGGCGACGCGCGGGCCCCGCCTCCCTCGTTGTCGGGGGGCGCCCCTGCCGCGCCCCGGGGCCTCCGCGAAAGGGGGAAGGGCCCCCCGCCCTCCCCCCGCGCCGTCGCGATGCCGGCCTTCTTCTAGCCTTAACTCCCTTCCATCCTTGCAATGGAAGCGAGGGGGTGCGGTGGGGGGGGGGAAAAGAAGAAAGCAAGGAAAGACGAAAGAAGGTTTGGCCCGGGGCGCCGGAACGCTGCGGCAGCGCGCGTGCCCGTGACGACAGCCTGCCCGTCCAGCCGGCGTTTTTTTTTTCTCCCCATTCATTTCGCGTGCTAGCGGGCGCGGCGTTGGCGACCGAGCCCCTGTACATATCAAAGTCCGGAAAGTCGGAAAAAAAAAGAATAAATAAAAAGCTAGCCACAAACGACAAAAGAAACGTGCCTCTTCGCTAGGGTGCGTCAGGCGACCCCGGACTCGTACGTTGGAATCATGTACTTGATATTGATGTAGGCGTCCTCACCGCCGTACCGCTCTAGGAGATTGAGTGTCTCATTTATAAGATCACTGATGTTTTGCTTCTTGCCCTGTGAGAAGTCGATGCGGTCGCCCAAGTTCTTATTTCGATCCTTGTACAGGTTGAAGATTGGGAGAAGCTGCCGGTAGTAGGGAACCAGGGCTTGCCCAACGTAGTCGGCGCTCAGCACGAGCTTCTGAAGAACCTTCAAAACGTTTACAATGACTGTGGGGTGGCGTGTGTTGAGTGCTGTTTTAATAGGCAAAATGAGCTGAGGTATGGTCGGAAGGATTTTCGATCCTCCCTTTTCAAGGAGATCGTAGCAGCCTTGTGTGGCCACAAAGCGAAACGGCTCCTCAAGCTCTCGAAGTCCATCAAAAAAGATGGGCAGAAAATAGTGATAATCCAATGTAGCCACATTCACTCGCCAGAGCAGGGAACGAGTCGCGGCCTGTTGAATGGACAGTGGAAGGTCCCCACGTTGATAGTGACTGCGAAACTCCGTGGGTGGAATCTTTTGCTTCTGCAAAGCCCCCGCCTTTCCTGGACCCTTGGGATCGCCAAAGCGTCCGTCCCCTTGAGAGCGGGTAGTCGCGCCGTTCCCCTTGAAGGTGCTGAAGTTCATACCGCCCGTTCCGGTGTGGCCCACGAGAATGGGCCTCGCCGACGCACTCTCCACCCCCGCTGCCTCCCCCCCGCTGCCTCCCACGCCGCCGACGCGCTTCTCCGTTGTCGCCGGCGCTTTTTGCGAGGCCGGGAAAGCAGGCCCCGAACACTTCACCACCGTCGCCTCGCTCCTTACACCATGGCCGGGCGGGAAGGGCCCAAATGGGCTCTCCGCCAGTGGGGGAAGCAGTTCCCGGTCGCGCAGCAGTCGCTTTCGTTCTGCGCGAGAAAATGCCATCACGCCTTGAGGACTGTTTCCTTTCTTACGCTTCCTCTCGCTGTATGTGTGTTTCCTTTTCCTTTACGAGTCTCGGTTCTATCCACGTTTCACCACACCATGCGGCGCTTCTGACGCGGGAGGGCACAGCAAAAGGCCATCAAACAACAGCAACACCAACACAAGGAAGAAGAAGAAAAAAAAAAAATAAAAGCAAGGGTAGTGATGCAGTAGCAGTGGTGCAACTGCAAAAGATACGCCCCGGCTCCTCCTCCTCCTCCAAAGCCACGCACAGACGCAGTGTGCTGCGCAGACGCGCGGAAGAGCACATCTCCGTGCACTGGGGGTGGTCGGCGACGTCTAACAACGGCACTAGCGGCGGCGTTGGCAAGAACCGTACATACACACGTTAATGGCAAACAAAAGGAAGACAAAGAAGAAAGGAAACGGAAAGGAAACAGAAGGGAAGTAAGTGCGGCGGCTTTTTCCTATTTTCCCCTCCCCTTTTGGGAGAAAGAAGATTACCAAAGTTTTTCCCGCTACTTATGTTCCAAGCACGCAAGAG